AAACTTGGTCTTCAATTTTATCAAAGCTCTTATTTTAGCCTCCCTCCTTACACTCTCAGTTCCAGATTCTGTGCCCTTTAAGAATTCTGAGGTATAAATCAAGTTACTTTTCATATTTCCCTGTTGGGGCTTAGTATTGAGCTGCCTGAGGTCTGCTGAGTCAGTTTTCACAGGTGCTCTTCCAAGTTCTTTTACCTTTGAGGCTATGGCCATCTCTCTCATTCTTTTTGTCCTCATAGATTTATGTCTTTAAAACAACAACAGAACCTTTATTGTAGTTTTAGTGCAATTTTGGGAGAAATTAAATGTCTGTGTTCAATCTGCCATCTTAACCTGAAGAACCTCCATTTGTTCCTTTAACAAATGAGGAATATGAGATTCTGAGAGATTACATAATTTATAAAAGATCACATGTTGCAGTATCTATTGCGCATCACAAACTGCCCCAAAACATAGTGGCTTAAGACAACAGCAACGCTTATTTTATTCACAAATGTGTAATTTGTGTGGGTATCAGTGTGAACAGTTCATCTTTGTTCTCCTGAGCATCAGCTGAGGTGGCTTGAAGTCTGGGAGCTGGAATCTCCTGAAGGCTTGCTCACTCTCACGCCTGATAATTGATGCTGGGTGTAGGCTCAGACCTTATATGGAACTGGGGTTGGAACACCTACATGTGGCCTTTTCATATGGCGTCTTGGCTTCCTCACAGCATGGTGACTGAATTCTAAAGGCAAACATCTTAAAAGAGAGAGCCAAGCAGAAATTTTATTGCCTTTTAATAACCTAGTCATGCAACATCACTTCTGCCACATTTTGTTCATTAGCAGAGAACCATTAACTCTGGTTCACATTCAAAAGGAGAAGAATTAGACCTATCTGTTGTTGGGGGAGTAGCAAAGAATTTATAAACTTATTTTAAAACTGCCACATCTGTGCATATACAGTGTAGAGCCAGAAAAAGAAGCCAGGTTTTTTTTCCCCCAGAAATTTTCTTATACCATATTGTTGGGTAGGAATTCATAACTAAAATCAGGTTTTTAGATAAGACATACATTGTAAGTTTCCATGCTTCTTCAATTTCTCTATTATAGGTCATTATATAGGTCACTATAATAGAGAATTTTCGAACTTTTTGATTGGTTTGTGTCTTGTCCATTTTGTTGTTTAATAGTTATAGAGATGAAAGTGATCCAAGAAATTATCTAAACTAGTGGTTTTTAAACCTATTTTTGTTCCTTTTGATTTTTGTGACAAAACACTTTTT